GTGTGAATGTTCAGGGATTTCTTTATTGTCCTGTTCCTCAAAGGTGCTGTTACCCCATTTTATGGCATTAGCCAGCTGGCTGCAGGCATGGAAGAGAAGTTCTTTGTGGATACATCCAAGTAATAAAATAAAAATTAGTAACTATTGCAGTGTAGCTGTGCTTTAAAATAGATGTGGCCTTATGTCTTAGAGGCACTCTGCCACAACAGGTGGATTGAAAACAGTGCTGATGTCATTGGGCCTCGTTTATGAGACTGTGATACACAAGACTGAAAGACAAGTGCATGAATTAGTGTCATTGCTGAGCACTGCTTTGTTTTATGAAGAAAAAGATGTTTCCAGTAAAAAACAAAACAACAGAATGAAACCTGTAGAAGTATAACAGTTGGATGTGTTTGAAGGAATGGTTTAAGTCAAGCAGAAGTATGTATAGAATGGTGGTTTTGTCTTTCAGATATGCTGTGAGTGTCTTGTGGGAACTAGAAAAGGAGTCCTATGAAACACTGCATGTCTGCTACAAGAGAACCATCATTCGATCTGCCTACAAGCTGGTGTATGAAGCAGCACAGGGATTATTAGATGGAGACGCAAGTGTTGTGGATGATATCCTGGAATTGAAAGACTTGGATGAAAGAACTAGAGAAAAGAAGTTGGCCGAGCTGGTCTGGGCAATATCAAAGCTCACTGATGTGGCACGACACGTCAGAGCCAGGCGGGACAGCTGTGGTGCTCTGGAGCTGGAAGGGGTGGAAATCCGAGTGCAGCTGGATGATAAAAATAACATCCATGATCTCATCCCCAAGCAGCCGCTGGAAGTGCATGAGACTGTGGCAGAATGTATGATTCTTGCCAACCACTGGGTGGCAAAAAAGATCTCGGAAAATTTTCCTCATCAAGCTTTGTTGCGTCAGCACCCCCCCCCGCGGCAGGAATTCTTTACTGAACTTCGGGAATGTGCCAGTGCCAAAGGTTTCTCAATGGACACACGGTATCTTTTAGTACTTCTCTTAAGCACTTTAATTATAAATTGAAGCAACTGTTTGGCTGTGTTATTATCACAAAACATTACAGTAACTATTGATGACTTTTTTTTTAATGTGCTTTTTTGTGCTATTTTTAACTATAAGCTGTTAATGATCAGGGAAAGCATAATTTTCTCCATAATTAACACTTTTTTGACAGGTCTAACAAAGCACTGGCTGAGTCTCTGGATAAAGCAAATGACCCATTGGATCCAATTGTAAATAAACTGTTGCGATCTATGGCCACTCATGCCATGTCTAATGCCTTGTACTTCTCCACTGGCTCTTGCCCTGAGGAAGAGTTCCATCATTATGGTATCTTGTCATTTCATTTTTTATGCTATTCCTGTTTTTTCTGGACTGTTGTGGGGAGGCAGTTGAGTGCTTAACACTACTTGTTTTATTCATAGGACTTGCCTTGGACAAGTACACACATTTCACTTCTCCAATTAGAAGATATGCTGATATTCTTGTCCACAGACTCTTGATGGCAGCGACTCTGAAGGAAACTAAAGGAGATGTGAAGGATTATGTATTCAGTAATAAGGATCTTCAGGAGTTGTGCAAACACATTAATAACAGAAACCGGGTAAGATGGGTGGTTGTGTCTCCATGCATTTATCAGGCCAGACTGCAGCTTTTGGGTACTACAATGACATAATATAACTTCAGTTTTATTACTTATAATGCTTTTGGGGTTTTTGACTTAAGTAGCAGGTTTTTTTCAGAGAGTGTTAGTAAAAGTGACTTCATCTGTACTACATGCAGGACTTCCTTTCAGATGTAGTTTTTCTAGGGGATGCGTAAGGGAGTAAGTAGTGGGAAAAAGAACTATGGAAATCAAAGCCAAATATTTATTTAGGTGGTTTTGTCTTCTCTTTTTGTGGGGGTGCTTGCAGGCAGCCCAGCGTGCTCAAAAACAGTCTACTGAACTCTTCCAGTGCATGTACTTCAAAGACAAAACCCCAGAAGCAGATGAGCGCTGCGTAGCAGACGGTGTCATTTACTCGATTCGAACCAATGGGGTGTTGGTCTTTGTACCAAGGTGAGTTGATCAGAGCTTGGACTGAATGGGGAAAATAAGGCCTAAATGTGCCTAGAACACCATGAGGACATCTGGCCTGGTGTTGACTGTGGTTTAGATTTTTGTTGTAAATCATAAGTGGTGCTTTTCTATGAGTTGAGTCAACAGGAGTTGCTGTGAGGCAAGGTTGAGGCTGTGCTGCACACTACCTATTTATTTCAAAACATTAAAAGGCCATTTTTTGCCCAGGCAGCTTCTAGGGCAGAACAATAACTGGAATATTTCCCCCCCCATTTTTCGTTGTGTTTTTTTTTTTCCAACAAAAGCCTCACGTTAAGACTTGGCCAGCTCTTCAAGACAGAACTACCTTTCCTCTCCCTTACTGGGCCTCGATATTTTGGATTAATGTGTTTTTGCATTACTGGTAGGAAAGTTGTTACCCAGGCAGCTTAACAGGTACAAGAAGTGTAGGTGTTAAGAACTTTCCTGGAAAAAAAAAAAATTAAACAAAAGCCAAAGATCATTCTACAGGGGTGTTAGGTAAAGCAGACCTTTACATGAATGCCCTGGACTTCCACAGATCCAGCCAGGGGCTGCTAGATCCTGGCCAGAGACTGAGCTTGGATATAAACCCAGCTTGCTGTAGGCCTGATGTCTCTAGCATTCCAGATGGCTCAGCTTGGATGCATGGATGAAGCACCAGAACTCACCCAACCATGAAGGGCTCCTTCCAGAGAAACCTGAGTAAATGCACTGCTGGACTTGTAACTTCTTTTAATGGAGAACTGTTTCCTCACTGTGCTGTCTGGAATAACCTGTAATGCTGCTCTCCTTCCATTATCAGACCATTCCAGGCTCCACCCAACACACAAGATAAACAATCACCAACTGTGACTTTTGAAACACTTCAGCCACTGTCTTCATGTCTTTTGTATACTCTAGGGGTTTCTTCATTGTCCCTGAAGCAGGATTATCACACTACAGTGCTTGTTATGTTGCTTTTATATAATCCTAGTTGGTTTCAAAATTAAGAAAACTGATAAGGGTGAAAATAGTTAAATCAGTTTCTGTCTACTTATCTGCTTTTCTGTAGATACGGAATCAAAGGTGCTGCCTATATGAAGAACAAAGAAGGCTTAGTCGTCTGTCAGTGTCATGGGAGCTTTGAGTGGAAACCTGGATCACTTCATCGCTCTCAGAACAGAATTACTTCCACTGCAACCACAGGAGAATCAGTAACATTGAGACTTTTCGATCATGTTACAGTGAGTATTTAATCTGAAGGAAGTAAAAGGAAATAGCACCATCAGAAAGATAATAATTTGTGTCTTGCTTTTAAGGTGAAAATACTTGTGCAGGCTTCCCGCTGCCACGCTGATACCATCAAGCTTGAAATAATCAGGAATGCACCGTACCAGACTCCAGACACAGAGGCTTCCCAGAAGAATTTCCATGTGGTGAAATCTGACTTAGTCAAAGAAGTCAGTCAGTCTGCAGAAGCAGCCCAGCGTGCCCAAGAAAAAGCAAGAGTTGAAGTCATAGATGAAGACTATCAGAAGTACTGCCAGACCAAGGGAGCCAGCTTGTACCAGCTGCTGGAGGAGATCAGGGATTTGGCTCTATTAGATGTTTCAGCTGAGATTAGAACTTGAGCTATAACTGAGGAACAGCTGCTTGATGTTCTGCTTCTATTCACTTTGTATCATTGTTGTTTGTTTGTTGTTTTTTTTTAAAAAAGTCTATTTAAATATTCAAGAATCCTTTTAATAAGAAACTAAATGTCTATTTTGAATAAGAATTATTTTTCTCATTATGAACGTGTACGGGTTTTTAAAATATTTTATACATGATAAATGTCATCTTCCAGACTGAAGAGAGTATGGTTCATTCTTTTAACTATAATAAGTTCTTAAACCCTAAGTATTTCCTACACCTGTTGGCTGTATTCCACTACAGTTCAGTGCATGGAACTCATCACTACAAAAACACAAAAAGCTAACTCTTCACACTAACTTGGAATAGTCCATGTTCACTGCAATCCTCCAGCTGCACATCTGGCATAAAGTAACACCTACTGACATGAACTGACTTCATCTGCTCCAAGTGCTGCTCTTCCCTTAATTCAGTTTCTGTTACGAACATCAATCTACCTTGTGCTATCAGAGAGGGCAGCTCAGGGCTTCACCAATATGGTGGTTCTTGTTCATGCCACCAAAGGGAAGAGCTTTTGTGCAAGAAGAAGAATCAAGACTGTAAGAATAGGATGAAACAGAGTCTCAAGACAGAGCAGAATCAGCCAAAGGAAGGTAACTAATCTGGTCAAAGCCAACACGTTTCTCTAAAGGCTGTACTTGTCTGTGAAGACATGTCTGACTAGTGTAAGGGAGGTGGAAGTTTGGAGGCCTGTAAGTGCCTTCATACAACACCTTCATACAAGAAATTCAAGTTTGACTTCTGGAATGTAATAGCTTCCATTTTATAAGAACAAGATAGAGGTACTTGATAAGCAAGTTAAAAAAAATCCAGGACACCATTCAGACAGAACAGTACCTGCTGTCATACACACCCTCTAGTAAGACAAAAATACAAAGCAGAAAACCAAACAACTTAAATACAAACTTCACCCGTCAACATCCCTGTTAACTCAGTTTGACTCAATTGTATACAAAATTCAAAATGTATCAAAAAACTCACATTTCCTAAAGAATGTCACAGGGAGGGGGTAAAGATGTCTTGTAAAATGCAGATAAAGACCTTTACTCTGTTTCCTGGTGTATGGAGCTGCTTATCTGCAGTTTCAAGAGTTCTGTCCAAGAATACAGAGGTGATGGTGAAGACTTCGATGAAGCTTCCGGAGTCAAAGAACAAAGAGCCACCAACATTTCAATAGAATGATCATACTTAAAACATTGGAGTCTTTTGGTCAATAAAGTAATATAAAATACGGAGAACAGTTACTGCTGTTCACTGGCACATTCCCATTCTGTATCTTCAGGTTCTGCAACAGGAACCTTGGTTGCAGTAACTTGAGTGTCTTCAATCAGATCAGTGGAGTCTTCAGCAGCTGGGGTGTTAAACTCCTCTTCCAAGCACTGAGTGGAGAGCTCTGCTGAAAAAAACAAACCATGAGAAAAAACACTTCCTGTGTGTTTGATTGGAGTTTGTCACCAGAGATAACCAGCAAATTAAGTTTCCTTTCATCAGATGAAGCAATCACAACTTTGCATGACAACTAGAGCCAGAAGTTCTGACTTAACTGTGGACAAATCTAACTACAGGAACACTTTAAATTTGAGTTACACATTTTGCTGCTTACTAGAAAAGTAATCACTACCATTTCCTTTGACTGCTCAGCAGCTCAGCTGTACGAGCTCCTCAGGCTTAACTTTTACCACAAACATTTCAGTCAGAGCTGATTACCATTGTGCTGTGCCTGGATGTTCCACTGCAGCTTTGCTTGCCTGCGTTCCAAGGCCAGCTGCCTGTTCTTCTGGATGCGCTGCTGTTGCTCCTCCGTGAGGGTTGTACCAGGGAGAGAACTGAGTTCCTCTGCACTTCCAGGGCAGGCATGCAGTGGTTGCATCCAGGCTGTTGCTTTCCCTTCCACCATCTGCTTAAAAATGTGGGAGTGGGAGAGGGGCAGAAATCATCACTTCAAACAGAAAAAATCTACTGCTAAATATCTTGCAAGATAACATTTTAAAATCATTTCTGTGTTTCACATCTTAAGTTGCATTGACAGCTGAAAATCATTCCATCATTTTAGTTTTAATGGGCAATTTTCTGCCTAGGTCCACATACCTGGTATTCAAAGCATATGACAAATGCTTACCAGAGATCCTAAACACAAAAGAACAAATACCTGGATTCAGAGGCACAGCTCAGTGTACTAAGTAAGCCATCATGAGCTGTGCTTGAAGGTTAAAAAGTCACAGTAAATTCAGGCAATCTTTAATGAAAGGCCAGATAATTTTCTTCCCATGCCTACTAATATGACTCTGACCTTTGGGAAGAGGCAGGACTAGTTATGGGAATCAAACTGAGGTTTGAACACAGACATTGAACAGCCAGTTTTAAATTCAGCGTGCTACTATTATGGGATATGTACTCATTAGCCAACACGAATACATGCAAAATGGAGGCAGTCCAACTCCATTAGACAAACTTCACCCACCAACAGAGAAGCAGAGCACTTTTTCAAGAGTGCCTAAGGCCAAGTATGCTTGTGCCTCTGCACCACTTTAAGCCTGTGAATAGAGAAATTAGCTGACAACAAGGTTTTGGTTTTCAATGCAATACTCTAGCTGCGTTTTTTATTTCAAAACTGTAAGACACCTACTCAAGTTTTTCAACTGAAGACTGACCAGTTGTGGCTGCACACTGACTAACATGCTTCAAGAACAGATCAGGATCACACTACATACAAATGTATGGAACCATCGCACAGAAACATCCGATAACTCTACAGACACTGTCGGCAGGAACCATTTGCTTTGCTGTTTGTGGCTGCTTAGGGCTGCATTCCATTCCTAGCAAATGCAGCCAACAGTGAAGACAGCCACATGTCACTAGCTGCCCAAGGGTTATCTCCACAGGTGAGGCAAGGTGCTACCACCAGTTAACTCATCCACCAGTACACTTTTCCCAAACACTGGTTTGCCTGGAGGCTGAGGTTCCAGTGATAACAAACTGGAAAATGAGTATATACTTGTTTCAAGAGAGGCCCACAGTGGAAGCGCAAACACTTGCAAATGACTATGAAATTGTCTCATTTCTGCTAATAAAGTTTCAAACTACCAGATTAACTGCTCCCTCTTTTTATTTAATAAATAAATACATTTATTTCTAGTTCGTGTAAAAACATAATCTTATTTGAAGAGACTCCTGAATTATCTACTTGTGAAGTGGCCAGGTTTTGATATTGGCAGAAATGCTCAACAGAAGCATGTGCCAGGACTGACCCACAGATACAGCACCCACAGGCACCAGTCAGTACTGTCCTGCAGAGCACTCCACCCTGCCTGCACCCTAACAGCCTGGAATAGGGACAGTGCAACAAGCCTTTCATTTCTGCATCAGGAAGATCCAAGAGCTCTTCAAACTGTACAATACAAACCAGTATGTTCACTTCATAATTGCAGTTTTAAGTTGTTGGGTTTTTTTGTTTTGTTTTGTTTTTTAAGAGTATTTCTAACAAGGCTGGTAATACTTTTCCAAAATACATTTTCCAAATACATTTTCCATTTCCTTTCAGCACACCAGGCAATTTTATTTATCTTTATACGTATTATGACATATTGTAGTACAAATACCAGTTCAGTTCTGCAACTGTAAGCCTCACAAGCTTGGTTTTAAAATAGATGACCACACTACACGGATTCTTCTGCATTAGAAAAACATGTAGTGATCATTAACTTCTGATAAGTAGGAGGGAAAGTAATTTTAAACACTGAACTACTGAATAAGCAGCACATACCTTCATTACTCCCAAAGTCTTCATGTAAAACGGGAAGGTCAAGTCTAATCCGCTTTAGGCAGGTCTGCAAATGAAAGATTAAAATACTGATATCTCTTCTGTAATAAACTATTTTCTGCAACACTGCTGTGCTTTTAATACTACTCCAAATTTCTCTTTACAACTTCATTATTCTGAAAAAAATAGTCCTTTCACTACATGTCTCTTTTCCCACAACTTTTAATGCCGTGGATCATTCTCCTAGTCCTTCATCTACCACCTCACCAGATGGAGCTGCATTCTTCATGAGGCTTCTTTTGCAGGTTCAAATGTTAAAAAACAAACAAACAAACATACCCCCAAACCCAACCAGTTCCAGCACCCTTAAGCAAATTAAATTACATGGTTAAAGGTGCCCAGAAAAAGCTGAAGCCAATTCTCTGACATATTAATCCCAAAAAAGAAAGGTTTAATCTAAATGTAAACTTAAATACTTCAAATACTGGAAAGAGCTTTTTTAAAAAAGAGATAAATTAATTTCAGTAAGATTATACTCCTTAGCAGTATGCACAACTTACATGGTCTTCTGTGGGATAATTTTCTCCTAAACCTACCTCTTGCACTATTCAGTTCTGCATGAAAAGAAACTGACAGGGACAATACATACCTGAACTTCCTTTTTGTTTCCCAAAGACTCTACTCTGTCAATAAAATCCTCAAATTGCAATTTTGGAAATAGTCTATGAGCCCAGTGTTCCATATGTTGTATGAGTATCTTCAGGTCCTCTGCCTAGAGTAGAAAACAGGATATTCAGCTAGAAAAAGTTCACTGAGTCAACAGACAGAAGAAGGAAACATCACAGTAGTATTTCTGGAAACATTAAGCATCTACAGCTTGAAAGGCTCCTGAAAATATAAGCAGTACAAATGCACTGGTAGTTTTTCCTCCCACAACCAGGTCTGAAAGTGCAGCTTCAAGCTATGAGAAGAACAGCGACCCAAGTGCAGGAAGAGCACTTGCAGGTACTGTAAAACATCTGATAGACTTCTGAGAAGTTGCCCTTAAGCAACCCAGGTCTGAACTCAAAACTGAAAACAAATCCCTGGGGGCACAGCTGGCATTTATTTTCATGTTTAGAACACAGAGAAAAACATCTAAACAACCTTATCTCTGCAAACCTGGGGTGTGCAAGAGTGCCAACAGTCTAGCGTTAAAGAAAAATCAGCTTTGTATGTTTAAGTTTATCCAAGACAATGAGACAGTTTGTAGAGAAAAAATGGCTTTCTCTTACCTAAAATGCTATGTCACTTTCCTTTTTTTTTTAATATTAAAACTCTGGGATAGAAGTTTCACATAGCCAGGGGATTTTCAGTAATAGAGGAAACTGACAATGAAATCAGAGGGCAAAGGCATTCCAGATGTAGTAGGAAGTCTTATAAGCCTGTTGCAAAAACCTCTTTCTATGGATCATACAAAGATGATATTCTAGTTTTGGAGTACAGGAAAATAGTCTTCAGATCAAAATCTGTTAATGCATTAATTTTTTTATTTTTTAAAAATTGCAACCACAAACTCCCATCAGGGCACATTCAAATACTGTGAGAAAGCTGGCTAACCAGAGTTTAATATCAATCCTATAACTCCCTATCAGATGGGCAGCAATCTATCAAATCTAGATTCACCTCCCAGGAAACAGAAGCAAAAGCTCCTCATGTCTTACCTCATGCCCCTTACCCTTGAACTTTACATTGTCAAACATGTGTCTTAGGGCTGGAAGTCCTCTTTCAGAAATTAGCCTGTTAATAAGAAATGGGGACATTTATTTAAACCCCATAATTTCTTTCTTATTTAAAAAATAAATAAGTGAACAAACAAAGCCACAAAACTAAAGATACAACCCCTTGCATTCCTTTAGACAGCCTAAAGCTACAGAGCTCAATTTGAAAAACAGCACAGAACTACAAGCTGTTAAAAAAATACACAAAATAGGATACAGACTGCTGCAAGACCCAAGACACTTCTTTCTTTTTCTTTTTTTTAAATTCACCATACATATATTAATAGTCCTGGAACTTTTTTTTATTTAGTACATGGTCAGTTCTAGTATCTATATTGGCCAAGTAAAACCAGTTAGATGTGTGACCAGATCACCCACCCAAGGTATTACTGATTAACTTAATCAGAACTTACACCAATTTTACGGACAACAGCAAAGAAAATACTAAAATCCTTTATCTTTACACAGAGCTTTTCCAGCTTGTACATAAGGTGTAAGTGTACTTTAAGTGTACCTGATATTTTGAAGCATACTTTATTTGAACAAAATCTACAGTCCTATGTTTAAAGCAAAATAAAGAAGATCCAGTTGGAAAAGTCCTATGTATACTAAGTTTCTCCTAAATTATTAGCTGTGTACTAAGAACCAAAGAGACTTCAAGAAAGTTAGACTTAGCACCACACAGGTAGGTTGGGGATAAAAAGGTTGAGATACAGCAAGCAAGAGGCATTTTCATCTCCAAAATTCTTGATCTTTGACTTTGCAGGCATCATAGTAACTTCAATCTCATTCCCCACAGCCATATACTGAATCTCTCACAGAGTAAAAAATTCTGAAAAAAAAAAAAAAATTACCTCTGGGCATCCAGTTTAGGCCTTGGTCTTTTAATTGCTCTCTGTGGAGCTACAGCAGAATCCTTTGTTTGTGACTGCTGGTTTCCATCTGATTCTAATAAAGAAAATATATCTTAAGTGTATAAGCCAAATTACTTCAATTAGAAGAATAAAAATTTTAAGTTTCCACCCTATCAAAAAGGCAGCATCACACGTATTCCCTGGCAAGTGCAGGACTCCAAACAAATATCTGCAACTTTCACCTCCCACAAAACAGACTGGAAATAAATCAGTCTCTTAAAAATAAACAGAGGAATTGACCTTTCTAACCAAGTAGGCTCCTTGAAAGGGAAATTCCCTAATTTTACAACTTTTACATTATATTGCTGATGAGAAATGTATTTAGATGCTGCTTCTAAATGTTAGGGAAGTCAAATTAAAAATAAACATAATTTGATAGGTCTGAAAGACAGACCTATACCACCAGCAGTGCCTTTGAAAAGATGGAGAAAGAGACAAAGTGTAACCACAATCAACATGTCTTTTAGGAACCAAACTTCACTGCCCTGAAGTGCCTCTGATTTTTTCCTAGGTCATATGGTCTACAAAATCTACCACCATCTCCCTGGAATTCTAGATTCAACACCCTGGCCTCTTCTGAAATTCAAACCATAAAGGCTAACTAGAGTTCACCACTGTATAGTTATTTTTACCAACATTTTGTCAGAAGGGCTTTAATTTTATAAAGATCCATTTGTGTGCAAATTTTCATGGAATCCACAAAGATAAAACTTCTTCCACAAGCTCAGAAGCAGTAACTAATTTGCAAATTGCTTTCTTATGTACGCAAGATTATTTTTAAACGTTAAACTCAAGGTGGTGAAGTACAACACCAATATTATTGATTTAACAGCATTTCATTGTCTATACAGCAAAATGGGATCGTTAGGGGTCATAAGGGTTCACCTCCATTAGCCTGAGCCCACTCAACATCATCTCTTCCTGGAGAGGCAGGAGGTGGAAGAGGTGGGAACGTTTCATCTTCTGTATTCTCATAATCAGGAAGATCAAACAAGTTGTTCTCTAAAGGATCTATCATTGTCACAGATCAGCTTTCCTCCCCTCCTGCAGAAAATACCAAATACATTCAAAGAGAAGCAGCAGGAAGGCAGCTAAACACCAGTCAGCTACAATATCTCCGCAGCTTTTTCAGAAAAAAGATTTGCCAACCAGAAAAAAAACAGTCTGATAAAGATGAAGCGGGAGATACCACAGAGAGAGATGACACAATCCACCCTCACCGGGCGGAATAAAACAAGCTTGTCGTGTTTCAACTCAAGTTACTCGGGAGTGGCAGGTACGGGTCACAGGAACGCATCAAAAGGATTTCTAACCAAAGCACCTAAGAAGACAGCTGGTTTCCACTCGTATCCTGGAGTATCAAAACTATACGAGGGTGGAGTGATAACTCCCCATTTCCAGGTTACCCGCCCGGAAAGGCAGTCTGGAGGAGGATTCCCCTTTTCGGCTCCTCAGGCAAAGCCAATTCCGGAGATTTCAGAACATCAGCACAACCGCGTTCAGGATGACCAGTGCTGCGCTCCCAGGGCTTCAGGAACAGCTCTTCCCACAAGGAAAAAGCTGTTCCTCAGCCCACCTTAGTAACCAGAGGACACCCCACGCAGCCCCGCGCAAACCGACCGTCGGGAAGCGAGCCTCCCTACCTCAGGGCTGCGGGACTCTGACGGAGCCGGCGGCTGCGGGAGCGGCCGAGAGAGGAGCTCACAGGGTC